TCTGGGACATCACATCTCAAGACAAGGAAAAGCTACTTTCTCTTTTTTACCTCCAGCTAGATCTGGAGCTGTCGTTCCCTGTGATGCTCACACCAACATTAAATATGGTGCCACACTTATAGAAACTAGCAGCAATGAGTTAACCGAGTGAAAGGCACCTCTAAACTTGGACACACCCTCAGATTTAGAGGGTCTCTTCCAGGGAATATTCAGGCTCAGAACAAAGCCAGGTTTTGTGTACAATACCCATTTGCTATAGAACTACACTGGCTGATGACACTTCTTTCATATCAGGTACCCACTTGAGACCAATTACTAACTTTCCTTTTTTTTTTTTCTCCTTCTCCACTGGGCTGTCCTCAGGCTATATATATAGGTTATGGGTTTCAGGGTCATCTGTCCTTCCCCATGCAGGCACAGTATTCCCAGTTTCCTTTCAATATAAATTCATCATAGTTTCAAGGAAATACCTCAGCCAGTTCTCATAAGAGTTCTTGGGTGCTGATCCTCTCTTCCTATGGATTTAAAGGCATTTGCCCAGATCAGACATCATTCAAATTACCCACAGGCAATATGCAGCCAGATATAGTTCAGTCTCCCCAGAGACAGGCTCATCACCGATCTACTCCAAGCATTTCTGCAACCATCTCTGTTTGCAAATGGGAGCTGTCACAGGTCAGGCACATATGCCAAAGAAGCTGTTCCCCCAGCAGTCATAGTTTAAGTTATAAATGAAGTGAGCCATGCTACTGCTTGGACTGGAAGGAAAGCACCAAGAATTCCTGCTCAGAAAAAGCTAAGGATACAGCTTGCAAAGATCAGATGCCATAGGAAGCAAGAGTTTCTAAAACCTAGAAAAAAAAAGGGTAGTGCAGAAACACTAGAATGGTTAACTCTTACAAAGCACAGCTGCACATGCAGCCTTATAACACAACAGTACTGCAACCAGGACCCAAAACAATTATAGCCTCAGTACCACCTTTGGCTAATCTTCCCAAGATAAAGTGTTTTCAAAAGCAGTGTTCCTTCAGTGAAAACAGCTAAGACTTCCATCACTTACTCAAAACTAGAGGCTAGGTTAAGGGACAAGGAGATTAGGTGACAAATAAAAGCAAACTCGCCCTCCGAGACAGTAGAAGATCAAAGAAAACCACACATCACAGCAATTATTAATTAAGTTTTTATGTTTACAGTAATCACTTAACAGGGATACCAAGGGGTTTTAATCAGAATTCTGATGATGGAGTGACTTCATTGGGAAAGCTGCAGAAAGATCAGAACAGCTGCTCTAAAATAATAATTCCAAAGACGAAAAAGTTGAGATCATACTGTGCTTTAAAAGTAAAATTACATGGTTTAATTTGCATAGCACAAGCATACATAAGTAGCTGAGTTACAGGCGTTGATAAAGTCCATCTCTATTTGTGTTATTGCCGTTTTCTTTTAAATCTGAGCAACTGGTTGCTGGTTTCTGCTGGAATCAAGGTAGGTTTACTGGCACTTACTGTCCAGTAGCTCAATTTGGTTTCGCCAAGGAACATTCAGTACTACAAAGTTGCAAATGGTGTGCTAAGGAGAGAAAGAAAGAAGTAGTTACCAGATTAAGAGCATAAAACAGTGTCATTTACCCTTGTTCTACATTTCTGTGGCTCTCTAGATTTGCCCTCTCCAGACAAGTACTCTGAAGCAGCACTCTTGTTAGTACCTGCTCAGGATGAGTCATGTCTCTCAAATAAGCCCTAACAAGTAAAGCTGAGCAGTCAGCACGGCTGAGGATCAGGTTACCTCCTTTATCCATTCAGAGGAAAGCTTTCACCACGGGTAATACTCAAACATAAGATTCCAAGCACAGCTAAGCACACCTGGACAGCTAATCCATGTGTACCTATGTCAAATCATTGCAGCTGCAATAGTGGTACACATCAGATTCTAGTGAGGTGCTTTGTGGATCATTTGTGTGCAGCTACGCTTCTCATATGCACACAGGTACAAAGGGTACATACACATACAGCCTGTGACTGCCTTTAACAGAAGAAATAAAATGCTATGGAAGAACTAGACACAGATCAGATCAAGGCAGACATATTTGGTGCTCCCATCCAAAAAGCTCAGTTACTCCTTACAGAGCATTGCTATTGGACAAAATGCTGGTGTAACACCTTGGCGGGCACAGAGAACAGGAATAATCTGCCTCTTTTGGGCAGTGCTTTGCCCAAACCTCTATTCACAGCAGTACAAGTCCTACGGGAAAGCATGCCAAGTCAAGCATGTTTACATCACTATGGGAAAGAAGAGCTGAGATATGGGGATTGAGAGCCAGGAGACCTGCAGGTTTGGCAGAGTTTCCTCCACATATCCTTCTGATCCAGACCATGAGCACTTGCTAGTAGAACTGAGACAAATGCAGTGCTCCAGCCTCAGTGCCCCACTTATGAAACTGGCAAAAGGCCCTGCCTTCTCTGACATCACCTGGCAAGACAAGTTCTGCAAGAGCAGTACCCTGTTAAGTGTACAGGCATAAGGTCTCTGTTCTTGGCTGGGGCAGACAGAGGACACTGCCATCTGTACTAAGCCAGCCAGTGGGATGAGGCTGGAAATCAGGGAATCAGTAAGCTGTGTACCCTAGAGCTTACCTTAGCCATCTGCGGCTCGACACGGAAAGCACAGCGCTGGAGATCAGCTGCTGGCTTTGTGCAAGTTGTCCGGGCAATCTCAACTTTCATTATGTACTTGACTCCAGCCACAATCTGTAACAAGACAAGTCAGAGGCAACTTTATTCGCAGCACAGAGAGAAGGGCTCTCTGATGAGACAAGTCTAGCAAAGAGGCAGGCAGCGTTCCTATTACATGATGGAAAACAGATTCCGAGAGTAAAGAAGGGAGTGTATGTGGCAACCTCCACAAAAGCGGCACTTGGCACCCTCTCAGAAACAGAAAACAAAATCCAAGTAAACACGTCTCACATAGCAGCTTCCTTAACAATAAACAGACCCGTGTTAACTCATCAGCAACACAGGGAGGCCACTGGCTTCTTCGATAACACGCAGCACTCAAGGTCATTCAGAGGAACCAAGCTATATAAAAAAGGGCTTTTATTCACCTTCTGTGGGGAAAAAAATCGAATAACTTGCAGACGCCTTCGAGCTTGGGGCCTGCCCTGTCTCCAAAGGAATCCCACAGGCCCTAGCTGCCCTCCGCACGGACGGTGCCAGCCCTCCCCCCCGCCGCTCACCTGCCTCTTGGCGCTGATGACCCGCACCACCCGGCTGGAGTACATGTCGTTGCTGGCCCTGTTGTACGCCGTCATGGCGAACTGCAAGGCCCGCTGCAGCCCCTCGTCGTTCTCAGGGTTGTCGATGACCTCTGGGGCCCCCACGAGCCCCGGGCGGTATTCGCCGGCCCGCACAACGCCGGCGGAGAACAGAGCCACGGCCAGCAACACCAGAAGCCCAGTCACCCCCGCCATAGCTGCGCGCTCTGACGGCCTCTGACGGCCACCGACCTTTTAAAGCCGCCGGGGCGGGGCGGGCCGAGCCGGGGCGGTCTGTTTTGGGCCGGGCCTCGGCCCCCTCCTCCCTAGTCCGGAGCCTCCGGCGCCGGGGGCGCTGCTCGAGGACCTCCCCGGGAGTGGGAGTGCGAGTGGGAGTGGGAGGGAGATGGGGATAAGGATAAGGATAAGGATAAGGATAAGGATAAGGATGAGGATGAGGATGAGGAGGCGGAAGAGGGGGAGCGGGGGGAGAAGGGTGCTTTCCCTCACGGGCATCGGAAGTTGGAGACTTTTTCCAGGATCTGCCTCCTCGTGGGTTATTCCTGCACTTATTTCCCTCTACTGCGGAGGGAAAAGAAAAAACATAGGGCATTTTAAGCTGATGGTGTGGCTCCCAGCACAAAACACCGTGTGTCATTTCCTACCTCTGCCTCCGCAACACTGGTGTTGCCTCATCTACACTCCGGGGCCGTCAGAGGAGGGGCGGCTTCCCAGATGGGTCGTTTCGCCTCCTGTCGGCTCCCATAAACACCAGCCAATCTCCCCCATTCCGTCAGGAACCCAATGTTTGGAAAGATGAGGCCTCATATAGTATGAGGGAGATAGCTCCGGTGAGATTCAAGGCCTCAAGGAGTTGTTAGGCTGAGAGAGGGTGAGGTTTTGCACCTGAATATTCGCAGCATGCCTTGTAATGGAAGGGGCTGGTGTGCTGACTGGAAAGGCTGCCTGCATGGCAGCAATACCCAGCAGGGCCGCAGTATCCAACATGAGCGACCCTTGGAAAAATCCCTGCAGTTGCCAACAAGCTGTGACTAATTCAGTGGGGACAGGGCATTGGGGTCATTTTTATAGCTAGAGAATCATAGACTGGCTTGGGTTGAAAGGGACCTCAAAGATCATCTCGTTCCAACCCCCCTGCCTTGGACAGGGACACCTTCCACTAGACCAGGCTTCTCAAAGCTGCTCAAAGTACCAGAGAGGAAACCAGGACATGTATTGGAAGGTGAGCCAGAGCTGCTAGCAGCTGCAGGAGTCTGTCTCCATTTATCTTTTCCTTAATGGACCTTGGACCTAGACTGGAGCAGTTTAAAACTCAACGTTAGAGCTTGCCTAGTGTCTTTAGAGGCGAAGGCTCTCTTTTGCACTGTCAGTGACTGCTGCCAGCAGGAACAGCCCGCTCTGATCTAAATCAGTCACCTGCCAGGTCTCTTTGCACTGCCTTCTGCTGGCCCTGCGAGCTCAGGCCTCCGTCGAGCAGTGCCCCGGCTCCCAGCCGCTAGAGGTGCTCACCAGCCCCACACAGCTCATGGAGGAATCTGTGCCTCACACTACCACACAAGGGAAGCACCGTGAGAGGGAAAAACAGTGCCCTGGGGATTCAGAGAGTTTTGACCTTACAGGCAAACAAGCAAGAGCCTTAGCTCTGCTTGGATCAGCTTACTGGAGTTAAGGCATCCCAGTGTGATTTAAACTCACAGTGGCAGACAGCAAGTCAGCTCTCAGTACAGTCCTAGTGATCACATGGTAATTTCTGCAAGGGGACATTGTACAAGGTACAGGATGACACAGTTGTGTTCTCCCTCACCTGCTTCGATGCCACAGCATGCCTCTTCAGCCAGCCCTGTTCTGTCTCAGAAACCCAGGGCTTCAGTTTCTTCTCACATGCCAGTCTGTCACTGGCCCAATGAATAACTGATGCCATAAAGGCACTCCAGCTGAAAAAACTGAGGAAGGAGAGGAGACTTCTTCAGTAATGTGAGGGGTGGTGACGTCTTTTGGGAGGAAATGGTTCATCCTCCTCCTTAGGCAGATAATTATTCATACAAGATGGAAAAGGCTCAACACAGAGAGGGATCATCCTCTCCAAAACAGGGACCACCTGCAGACCCCCAAACAGAAACAAGCTGCATTTGTTGACTACTGCCAGTTCAAACCCCACAAAATCAGGACTTGAAACAAAGCAATTATGAGAAAAAAAGGCTTGGCAAAAAGTTATGTTCTACAGTTGATGAATGAAGGCCACCTGGTTCATTAAATAAAACTGCAATTTGTCCTTTTGTTTTTGAAAGGTGCAACTATCTTATTCTATCAGAGGTGCTTTTTTTAAAATATGAAGCAGAAATTCCTGAATAACCAGATGACCAAAGAATACGGTAATTGAGGAATTTACCAAGCAGCAGGAGACTCATGATAACATTGCAGAAGTTTGTAATACTGTGTGCTATCACTATAACCGTTTTAGTGTCTCCTTACGTGGTTGGTTCAAGCATTTGTGCAACATCCAATATATTTGTATCTACCTTTTTGTCTGTTTCAGCTTCACACAGGACTGATGAGCTTTTTATGTTATCAGGCATACTCATTTCTCCAGATAACTGCTGGATTCATTGTCCTTGCTTTTGACATCCTTCATCTCTCTTTTACCATCCAAAGGACCAATTATATATGTCTCTACTCAGTAGCTACCTCAAAAGATCTATAATACTGTGACATGTTTTTCAAAGTACAATTAGACAAGGATCTTTGAAAAAGCAGTTAGTCCTTTAATGAAGACCAACAGTTTCTTCACAGACCTGAATTCTGAATGACCCTCAAGAAAGAGTAATTACTGTGTTCGAGACAGAAACACTGGGAAACAATGATCAAACACTAAACATCTGTTTCAACTTCTCTTAACTGAGGGACAGCAAGCCAAATCCATGCCAGGGTCAGTCCCTTACATCATGCTAAATGAACCTAGAGCAGTGAAGGGTGGGGTACTGACATGGTTCCCCCTTCTCCTCCCACCACGCTGTGAAGCTAACACAAGGCAATAGAAGGGAAGTGTTTCATAAAAGGACCAATTCTGAAGGCTGAAAGCCCCTTGAGCAAAATAGTCAGCAGTTTCTGCTGGGACAAAGCAATAGCCTTCCTTCCATGCAATTTATTGGGGAGTCAAGTCCCTGACTCCTGTAGGAAGAGTTGCAGAGATATGCTACAGGATTCCTCCACTGTCTCTGGCTTGTTGCTGGGTTTATGACTCTTAAGTCATACAAGCACTCAGTCATAAATTATGTAACATTTTCATCAATCTCAGTCAAAGAATATATTTCTCAAATATGAAAGCTTTGCATTTACAAGTCTAGCCATTACAATATGTGCTTATTTGCAGAAAATCCTTCAAATAAATGTTTTGCAGCCTCCAGCCAAAGCCTCTTTCCATCTGTATGGGCACAGAAATCCTGTGAAATACAGTCAGCCAGGCAGGCCAGTGTCCAGTTACACAGTTATATAGGCAGCTCTGTCTCCATGAGACTGAAAGACAAAATGCCTCATTTAATTGATCAGTAAGATTTGTAGGATCAAGACCATAAAGACAGGACCAGAAGTGGCAGGTGAAAGTATAATGGCTCACATCAGTGGGTAGTGTTGCTGTGGGCCATGTCCCCAAGTTTGTTAGTTTGTTTTCATCGTATGAAAATTAACTCAGGGTCGTGTGTTCTTAAGGGAAAGAACATCTTAAAGAGTGGGAGATTTTGTCACCTGCTCTCCGCTTTGACAATTCCTAACATGTACACAGAGCTATTCTCTGAACATAGTTTCAGAGTTTGGTTGCACTTCCCAGAAAAATCTCCATGGTGGCAGCCTCTTGCACATTATCTGAGTACCTCCACTCTGGGCCTGCTATCTGCATTTACCTAAAGATAACTGCATTTAGCTGGTTCCTGCAGGGCTTGAAAGCCAGCCAGCAGAGCTCTAATCTCTGCATGGCACTCAGAACGGAAACCAGGGCCTGCAGGAGGGACAACAGCTTTTGCTGTCGCTGAGTAATGAGATAGCAAACCTCAGATATTGAAAAATAATCACGCTTCCTACAGGTAAGAGATTACCTTTGAAATATCTCAAAACCGATACACTCTTAAACGCTTTTTTAACCTGCTTTCTGATTCCTTTTAAAATACATCAGTCATAAAGCAGGGTTAGATTTCCCAGTTTTCCTCTGTCAAACCAGCAGCCAGCACCAAACGCAGTGTAACAAATAGCATGGTTTGCATATGTTCATGTGAGTCCCAGGGGCTCACAAAGGCAGCGCCCTTTGAGCACGACAGCATTTTATGAGACAGGGCTGAGAGTGATTCCATACCAAAGGCAAAGCCGTTTCACTGCTGTGGAAGAGTGTCCTCTGCTTATGGAAACAAACCCATCCCATATCAGCTTATTCAGTGACGGTGGGAGAAACAGGGAATCTACCTTCCTTTGAGGCTCACGGCCACCACTCCTTGCTCCGATATGGAGAAGCATTTTTTTAGGACAGGAAGGGAGGCAATGCCATGACTTGTCCACACAAGGAAAACCAGGGCCCTATCTTGGTCCTCAGCTTCAAAAGGGTGGCCTCTAAAAGCTAGACAGCTGATTTGAAAATACCCAGTAAACCAGGACCGCAGCCACATCTGCCTGTACATAGGCATGTACAAATGCTGGCAAGCTCTCACCACAATCCAAAAGCCAGTAGTGGCTTTTCTGGATAGACTGCAAGGTGATTGTTCAGCTGAAAAACACTATGTGCCATGACAGGATTCAAAAGCACCAAAGGGCTGCTCTAAACATATTTCAGTCCTGGCAGTACAACCGGATTAGTAAAACCACCACCACCCCCCCCAACCTGCTCTCAAGTTCAATGACTGCCTAAATAAGCTTAGCACTTAGTGCTGAGTGCACCTTTCAGGCAATTCCGTGGGAACAGAGCTATTAAGGAAACACAAGTCCTCAATCTAGGTGTTGAGTTCTCTTGAAAGCACAGCCTAAGATTTCTTGGGAACAGCAAAAAAAAATGAACAGAAAGCAAGTGCAAGTAGCACTGAGCCCTGTTCACTCATTGGCTGTTACTTTTAGGAATTAAATGCCAAACAACTCAGGACTGATCTCAAGTAGGTCAATGATTATTGCCCTGCAGACAGCAATTCTGGGAGCTACCCAGCTCTCTGCTGAGTCCCACGCTGCTCACATCATTTGTGGGATGACAGCATCACCTGCTTTAAATCCCTTTCCCTTACGGCAATGCAGAAGATTATCTGCCTCTAAAAAATGGGTATTCTCATACAGACATCTGCTTAGTAATTACTGATGTTAATCTGCCTTTGTGCTCAGGAGGGAAGGCATTATTGGTTTATATACAAGCAGTAAATAAAGTAACTGGCAGCAGAAAAGCTGCATTTCAAATAACTGCAAGCAACCAGTTATCCTCAGACTGTGCAACTGAAGCAATGAAGCCACAGTATTGATAGTGAGTGCTGATTTAAGTGAAGTACTGGTGCTAACTGAGATGTTAGCAAAAAACCCCTTTGCACCAGCATCCATTTTACTTTAAGAAATATAAATGCCGGCACAGCAATAGCATATATTCAAAATTATCACCAGATTTTTTATGCAATCTGGTGCCTTTGACTGCTACATTAGCTTCTATTTGGCCATTCTCTTTTCTTCTGTATACTTCTTTCTTCTTATGTATCTGTTTGCCTCAGCCTTCAGGAGAAATAGCTTTGCTGCATAAGATTTGTATTCATTAGTTCTTACTAGATGGTTTTTTTCTTCCCTGGGAATCGTTTGGTTCAGAGCTGACAAGAGAATGAGTTCTGTCCTTGGCCTCTGATCCCATCTGAAGCACAAAGTGTATGTTTAAGCTTAACTTCTGAGAAATACTGGTGACTTCACATGACTAAGAATAAGCCTAAAATGAAGCGTATGTTTGCATGCTCTGTAACCCTCCAGCAGCCTGCTGATTTAGATGAGGGGATTGAGTCCACCATTAGCAAATTTGCAGATGACACTAAGTTGGGGGGGAGTGTCGATGAGCTGGAAGGCAGGAGGGCTCTGCAGAGGGACCTGGACAGACTGGAGAGTTGAGCTGATTCCAGCGGGATGAGGTTCAACAAGGCCAAGTGCCGGGTCCTGCACTTTGGTTACAACAACCCCTTGCCGTGCTACAGGCTGGGCATAGAGTGGCTGGAGAGCAGTCAGGCAGAAAGTGACCTGGAAGTTTGGATTGACAGGAAGCTGAACATGAGCCAGCAGTGTGCCCAGGTGGCCAAGAAGGCCAATGGCATCCTGGCCTGTATCAGGAACACTGTGGCCAGCAGGACCAGGGAAGTGATTCTTCCCCTGTACTCAGTGCTGGTGAGGCCACACCTCGAGTACTGTGTCCAGTTCTGAGGCCCTCAGTTCAGGAAGGATATTGAGGTGCTGGAGCAGGTCCAGAGAAGAGCAACAAGGCTGGTGAAGGGACTCGAGCACAAGTCCTATGAGGGGAGGCTGAGGGAGCTGGGGTTGTTTAGCCTGGAGAAGAGGAGGCTCAGGGGAGACCTCATCACTCTCTACAGCTCCCTGAAAGGAGGTGGTATCCAAGGAGGGGGGGGGTTGGTCTCTTCTTGCAGGCAGCTATCAGTAAGACAAGAGGGCATGGTCTTAAGCTCTGCCAGGGGAGGTTTAGGTCAGATATTAGGAAGAAATTCTTTACAGAGAGGGTAATCAGGCATTGGAATGGGCTGCCCAGGGAAGTGGTGGATTCTCCATCCCCGGAGGTTTTTAAGATGAGACTGGATGTGGCACTTAGTGCCATGGTCTAGTAACCACAATGGTGTTGGATCAAGGGTTGGACTTGATGATCTCAGAGGTCTTTTCCAACCTGGCTGATTCTATGATTCTATGGAATATTGTTCATTCCTGTCTCTTCCAGCAGCAAGCTCTAAACTAGGAGTGAAATAGTCAGATGTTTCAATAGAAGTTAGTTTATTGTAAAAGAAAAGCCAGACAATAACAAAATATATTTCTTGACGTTTGGGCCACAGCCTGCACATGGCAGAGAAACAAAGTGTAACAGAGAAGCCTGCAAAGATTAGAGCTCATACTCTAAGGCTTTGCAGGTCCCAGAAAGCCCAGAGGAGAAAGAGTGTCCTCTGCAATAGCATGGTGTCTGTGCAGAATTCCCCCAAGAGGATCCCCAGAAGGTGGTTCACCGGTCACATCACTTTTGTTCACTCTACAAATCGAATCACTCCTGTCCTCCCTTGGCAACAGCTTGTAGCATAACTTCTCTACTTCAAAGTCCAAGCAAGGGCTTTGGCATATAGCACAAATTTGAGTGTTCACTAAGCATGATATCATCCTTTAGCTATACATGTTTAGGCCACTTCATACACGTTGTGCTCAAGAGCACAACTACAAATCCATAATCTTTGCAAGAACATACAATTAAAGGGACATCCAGAACCTCGAGTTTTTGTTAGTTGAAGTGAGCTCTTCTGCTACGATTCCAGCAGAGCCAAACCAGATGCCAGAGTATGCTGGATTGCATGGCACTGCACAAACAGACACAACCTGTTTGGTTTTTTTTTTTATTCTGGTGGAGGGGTTTTTGTTGTTGTTTTTGTTTGGGGATTTTTTATTGTTTGGGGTTTTTTTATTGTTTGTTTTCGTTGTTTTGTTTTTTAAGAGACAAATGTTGTGCTCTCAAGTAACTGCATTGATTTCTCATTGGAAGACAAACCAATGGTGCACAGCCTGGATATTTTCACAACCCCCACATAGGTACAACCTCTGTGCTGGGTTTTGAAGTTGTTATGGTTCCTGTCTGCTCCAAATTTCAGAGCAGAAAGCTCTGCCTGGTTAAGGCTTTTTTGCAGGGGAGGGGGAAGCAAAACTCTTGTCTATGAACTGTCTGAGTGAAGAGAACAGCCTGTTCCCAAGGGTTGACTTGCCAGCATGATTCCTCCCTGCTTCTCATTAGGAAAGACTTAAGCTCTTTTCTACATTGTGCTTGTTGAATTTGAAGCATTGAGAAAGGGGCAGGGATACTTATTGTGTATAACAATTGCAAGAGAGAAATTGTTGGAAGTCAAGGTAGCTTGCAAACAAAACCAGTCACCCGCACCAGACAAACTGGGATACTAGTCCACTAAGACTTTTTCCCCTCAAGAAGGAAGTAAAATTGTGAATAACCCCAAAATTCACCCTGTCAGCTGTTCACTCGCTGCTCTATACATGTACATTCGGCAAAAAAAAATAGCCACTCTAAAACATGAAAGGGCCTTCCAGAAGAGTATATATTGTTATACATAAATAAGATTACTGCATCTATAATCATTATTTAATTAATACACTGTTAATCCATGGGCCATGCTGCATCCCCCATTTATAGCTAGCCATCCTTCAGGTTTCAGTAAGCTCAAGTGCACAAGTGAAGACTCACTTTCAGAGCACTTCTTTTACTCAAAGAAGTATGTGGTTATGTGTGAATTAGGTGACTGCTTCATATCCAGTGTCTGGCAGTCAGTTCGCTCCACTTGGAAACTTTCAGTCATGCAAGCAAGGAGACAGAAAGCCAGATCACAGCATGTAACACAGCTGATATCACCAGCATGAACCCTAAAAAGGAATCTTAAGAAGACAGAATAGCAAAAAATGGGTCTCAGCACCTAGGAGGCCAACACTTACCCTTTGAGCTGTCCACAAAGACTTGCACAACATTCTCCCACCAATCTATGTAACACATACTTCTGTAAAAAACAGATCAAATGCACTGGCTTAATGTGAGCAGGAATAATTAAATTGTGTAAACATGAGAAGGAAAAAATAAAATTGTGTGAACATATCTCTTCTCAGATTCCCAGCTGGATAATAAGTAGCCTTTTATGAACATGACAGCAAAGCAGGGACAAGGAAGCTTTAGTTTCACTGTAATTTATTGGGGAGTCAAGTGTCCAGCTCCTGTAGGAAAAGCTGCATGGATCAGGCCTTTCACTCTTAAAGAGCTCAGCCACAGTGCTATAGTGTTGATGGAGCCCAGTTCAGAATCACAGAATTGGTAAGGTTCGACAGGACCAGTGGGTCATCTGGTCCAATCTCCCTGCTCAAATAGGGTCATCCTAGAGCATATTGCACAGGATTGCATCCAGACAGGTCTTGAATTTCTCCAGTAAGGGAGACTCCACAACCTCTGAGGGCAATCTGTTCCAGTGCATGGTCACCCACACAGTAAGCAGTATTATAGCACAATAAGTGCCAGATTCTGCAACTGGGATGGGGCAACCAGGGATGTAGGTACAGCCTGGGGAATGAGATGCTGGAAAGCAGTGCCTTGGAAAGGGACCTGGGGGTCTTGGTTGACAGCAAGTTGAATATGAGTTAGCAGTGCCCTGGCAGCCAGGAGGGCCAGTCATGTCCTGGGGAGCATTGGGCAAAGCCTGTCAAGGGAGAGGATTGTCCTGCTCTGCTCTGCACTGGGGCAGCCTCACCTTGAATATTGTGTGCAGTTTTGGGCACTGCAATACAAGAAATATATTAAGCTATTAGAGAGTGTCTGAAGGAGGGCAACGAAGATGGTGAAGGGCCTTAAGGGGAAGATGTGTGAAGAGTAGCTGAGGTCACTCAGTCTGTTTAGTCTGGAGGAGAGAAAACTGAGGGGAGACTTCATTGCAGTTACAACTTCCTCATGAGGGGAAAAGGAAGGGCAGGCACTGATCTCTTCTCTGTGGTGACCAGTGACAGGACCCAAGGGAATGGCCTGAATTTATGTCAGGGGAGGTTCAGGTTGGATATTAGAAAAAGGGTCTTCACCCAGAGGGTGGTTGGGTGCTGGAACAGGCTCCCCAGGGAAGTAGTCACAGCACCAAGCCTGACAGAGTTCAAGAAGTGTTTGGACAATACTCTCAGGCACATGGTGTAACTCTTGGGGATGGTACTGTGCAGGGAGAAGGATTGGACTTGATGATCCTTGGATCCCTTCGAAATCCACATATTCTGTGACATTCTGTGAACATCCAATCTTTGTTGGAAATTGCATGTCTGATTTTTTTTTTAATAAAACTGGATTGAAATTGTTATATTTCATATTGTGGTGCTTTCTGTTAATTTCCATGTCTATTTTACAACATAATTAATCTTTACTGTATATGTATTATTTTAATGGCAAGATTGATAATTGCTCTTCTGGTAAAAATTAAACTATAAAACATCCTCAGGCCAGGAAGTCCTGTTCAATACAATTTACTTACTATTGGTCATCTAATGTATCACATTACTATAATGGCCAGTCTTCGCGAGCGAAGATTTGGGAAAGGTCATTAACCCTTCGAGCCTGCGCAGTGGATTTTTTAGGTGAGACACAGTGTGC